GCCACTGCAGCAGCTGTGGCTGCTGCTGCCCAGCCCCAGCCTTCAGTGGCCGAATCCTACTACCAGACAGGTGGGTGGAATGATTCAAACTGCTATCAGTGTGCACAACCTGGGTACCACTTTAATAGCTTAAAAACGGGGGGGTTGTATTTCGTGCGGTCCATATTTTATTTTTTTTCAGTTTTGTCATGTAACCTCTGTCAATGTGTAGAAAAATTTGCTGCACCTGGAACTTGAACATTGTTGTGATGTTGCCATAAGTCTCTGAGGTTTTGGATTGTTATTAAATACACTCAAAATATACTGCTAGGCAAATTTCTGTTGATTTGGCTAGAAACCTTGTTGAAGTAGGTTCAACTAGCCAATGGTGGGTTAAGGTCATAACATGATAATAGAAAAGATTTTAATTTTTTAGTTACTTATATATGTACCTATTTAATTATTGGTATCATTAATGCTGCAAAACATAAATCCTACTTACTTTTTTCCTTTGATTTGAAGTAATAGGAAAGTTTAGGTGTACTTGGGTTTAGTGTGCTCCAGTAAAACCACTGAATGAGAAGGTTATTTAAAAACATGTCACCACAGTTAGAAGTAAATAAACCTGAAGCCTACTGTTGTGAACTATTACATGATTGAACAGTTACATGTTGCATGACCATAACTTTAAAACAAAAACACGAAACAGCGCAACACAAAAAAATGGATAATAATAATTTTAAAAAAAACAAAACAAAAGCCAAACCCCAGACAGCTTTTGTGTAATAATTTCTTAGCATATCATGAAGTATCACTTAATATGGTTTGCATTTCATTCAACTAAAACATGTCAATGTTTGTACACTTTTTTGTTCTCTCCTAATTAGCTCCTAAAGCAGGATATAGCCAAGGGGCAACTCAGTATACCCAAGCCCAGCAAACACGACAAGTGACTGCTATAAAACCTGCAACCCCAAGTCCAGCAACAACCACATTTTCCATATATCCAGTATCCTCTGCTTTGCAGCCAGTAGCAGCTGCAGCTACTGTTGTTCCATCCTATACTCAAAGTGCAACATACAGTACAACAGCGGTTACTTACTCTGGTAAGAGTTTTGCATGTTATGTTGTTCAGATAATTATATTTTCTACAGGAGAGGCTTTAAATACTAAAAATTATAACAGTTCATGTTCACTTACGTCATAGTCTACTGAGACTTGTCAACCAGTTAAATCATTATAATGGCAAATAATTTTGTTGTATTTTGAGAAGAGGTTTGATGTTGGTATGTTCCTATTTTGTTACCTGTGAGAGAACACAAAGTATTGACATTGCTACACTTGTGGTGTTTTGTGACTTACTGTAAGGTTTGAAGAGGAAAGATGTGGGACAGAAAAAAAGAAACATCCACACAAATATTACCCAGGGGAGTTGGAAGGGAGTGTGCTGCAATCAAACAGCAGTTACAGAGACAGGGAGGAGCAGTCCAATATAAATCTTTTAAGTCTGGGCTGTCTTAGCACAAACTGAGATGAGAATGTGTGCTGAAAAAAAAAGACAAAATAGACTTTGCTTCATACATTAGAAATCCAAAATATGGTTAAAGATTTAAAAATATGTCAACTTTACAACCAGATGGTAATCAGCTGGCATACCATAGCTACCTTGAACTTTTGTTTTGTTGTGTTTTCTGTTTAAAAAGGAATTTTAAGACTTCCTTGAGAGAGAGAGCCTGATCAGAGGGTTACAATAGTTGAAGCAATAGATGTAAAAGGTTTATGGGAAAACTGGCTTAAAGGACCAGTTTCCTTGATGTATTCAAGTTTGATAGTAGGAAATCAAGGACTGCATAGCTAGGTTGTAATGGAGAAGCAGCATCTCTGTACTAAAACTTTAAATGAGTGAAATAGAATGTATTGGCACTAGCCATTCTGTCTTTTATCTTTATTTTTTTCCCCTGCCTCTACATAATGTCTGTCCTTGCCATTTGGAATCTTTTAACAGCAAATCTGGTTTTTGAAGACTGCGTACTTCAATTGACCTTTGATAAATCTTGTATTACGATTTTTGTTAAATTGTAGTCAGTCTTACCAGATGTAGTAGGAAATTTCACATATTCTTTATGGATGCTTTCATGTATCTAAAATAACTGTGTCTGCAAAGGTGTATTTAAAACAAAGTATAATCCTGATAAAATTGGTAGCTCTGTATTTGTGGAGTGTGAAACATCAATAAAAATTCAGACTGCCTAACAAGATCTCAATAAGTCTCATATTCTGCTCTGCCCCCAACTCTGTTAGGCAACATATTTTCAAAGAATGTATTAGGTAATTGATACATGATGTACTGTGATGTAACATTTATTTTATTTTGATCTTTGAGGTACCTCTTATTCTGGCTATGAAGCTGCAGTGTATTCAGCTGCATCGTCCTATTACCAGCAGCAGCAGCAGCAACAAAACAAAAGAAACAGGCAGCAGCAGCTGTTGCAGCTGCTGCAACAGCTGCTTGGACAGGGACCACCTTTACTAAAAAGGCACCATTCCAAAATAAGCAACTGAAACCAAAACAACCTCCCAAACCACCCCAGATCCACTACTGTGATGTTTGTAAGATCAGCTGTGCTGGACCACAGGTACCTGTATTATGTAATATTCTGCTATGCACTTCAGTCATAATCTCTGCAGATGAAGAACTGAGCCCTTTAAGAATATTTGTTAATGTTAAAGACCTGATTCTATGATTCTAGTGAAGGAATAATTAAGTGAACATGTGTGCTATTACAGAAAGAGTTCCTGTGAGAAGACAAAAGATACATCCTCTGAGCTTTTGCAGCTGTGCTTTGAACTTCAGAAATACCCTAAACTTTAAATCTGATTTGCTTTTTTAGCATAGCAAACTTCTTAGAAAATACTTTTTTTCAGAACTATGGAATTAATACATTTTGTGAATGGCAATTCACAAAAATATTCCAGTATCCCAGTTTAGTTTCATGGTGGGTATAACTGCATAGAAAATAAGATAACAGTTTCTACACAGTGTTAATTTGTGTGTCTCAATAACCAGTTGTTACTGTTTAGGTAAACTTGTCATTATTTTGCACCTTCTCTGTTCTCTAGGTGGCCAGTGTAGGTGTAGAAACAAGTATCAACTTCTGCCATGCATTTTCAGCACAGCTTTATTTCTGCTCTGCCTTATTTTGAATTTAATTTTAGGTTCTCTGGATACACTTAATTACTGTGGTCTTGGAGTTTAAGGAATATTCAAAATCAATAGTAATTTAATGCAACATAGGAAACTGCAACTGAGATGTAGTTTTCTGATCATACCAAGTTTTCAACGGTAGAATCTGTTGACTAATACTTGATTGAGGAAGTAAGAAGTTAGAGGAGAAAAGCTCATGTTGTAAACCCGTGGAAAGAGGCTGGAAAGGACAAGAAGAGGTTTATTGATCTAAGAAGTAGCCTGCTGATGCCTTAGAGCATGTCGTAAGGAAGAAATGTTCAGTGTAGGGAGTTTCTTACAAAAAGCATGTGTTTTATGCCATGTTCTGTATTACATGTGTTCACATGAATGATGAGTGAGCAGTACAGAGCTTATTTTATGTGTATGGTTTATTTAAACAGACTTATAAAGAACACTTAGAAGGCCAGAAGCACAAAAAGAAAGAAGCAGCTTTAAAAGCTTCCCAGAACACCAATAACAGCAGCACTTCTGCTCGTGGAACTCAGAATCAGTTGCGCTGTGAGCTTTGTGATGTGTCTTGTACAGGAGCAGATGCTTATGCTGCCCATATCCGTGGAGCCAAGCATCAGAAAGTAAGAGTTTTCTCTTGTTTTTATTATACAAGTCAGTCTTACATTTCTTCCCATAGTTTTTTTCTCAGAGATAAAATACACAGAAACAATGTAATTTGAATCCTTTTGTTTTAAGATGTTCTCCTTTTTGTTTCAAATTTATCTTTAAGCACACTATTGGAAGGGCCTTGTGGGGAGAAAGGAGGAAGAATATTGCCATGACATCAATGAGAAGAGGATGTAATAGGGAAAGTATACAAATTGTAGGAAGGAGGTGTAGAGTACGATGGAGAAAAGAGCTAATGAGGACATGAGGTAGCATACTTGTGCCCTGTAAGTGTTCTCAGTAATTTCCTTGACATTTGTCTTACCTGTCTGGTGCTGGTAAGCTTTCAGTGCACTTTGAAAAACTAAACTGTGTCAGTGCCCAGAGACAGGACTATTATGCATCACTCCTTGGTATTTCTTACAAAGAAAATTGGCATATGAGAGCAAGGAGCAAGGAGCAAGCATCCTGTAGATTTTGTAGTGAATATGTTCAGAAGGCTTTAGGTAAGCATGTTTTCCCTACTGTTTGAGTGCAATTAGGTGAGCACCCTGGAATAAAGACTGGGCTGCATTGTGACCCCCTGTGACCTGTGTTTTAAATTTGTTCAAATTCAATGACAGTGTAGAATGTTTGTTTAGATATTTGTCATGGTTTAACCCCTTTTGGCAACTAAGCCCCACACAGCTGCTCCCTCACTCCTCCCTGGTGGAATGGAAGAGAGAATTGGAAGAGTAAAAACAGGAAAACTCATGGGTTGAGATAAAGATAGTTTAACAGGTAAAAGCAAAAGCCATATGTGCAAGCAAAGCAAAACAAGGAATTCCTTCATCACCTCCCATTGGCAGGCAGGTGTTCAGCCATTTTCAGGAAAGCTGGGCACCATCACACATAAGAGTTACTTGGGAAGACAAACACCATCACTCTAAAAAAAATTCCCTACTTCCCCCCCATTTCTTATTTGACCCCCAGTTTTATTGCTGATCATAAGATCATACTACCTGGTTATGCTGGGATGAGGTCAGGAAGGCCAAGGTACTCCTAGAACTGAACTTGGCAAGAGATGTTAAGAAAAACAAAAAGGGCTTCTACAGGTACATAAACCAGAAGAGGAAGGTTCACTGCCAGCCCTACTTCTCACAGCTATCAAGTTGATGGCCCACAAAATGCAGACCAGAGAGACAAAGTTCCCCCACTGTAAGTGAAGATAAGGTTTCTGACCATCTGAGGAACCTGAAGACATACCTGGACCTGAAGTCCATGGGACCTGATGAGATGCATCCCAGAGTCTTGAATGAACTGGTGGATGTAGTTGCCAAACCGCTATCCATGATATTTGAAAAGTCCTGTCAGTGAGGTGAAGTACCTGGTGATTGGAAGAAAGGACCCATATTTAAAAAGAGTTGAAAGGAACTACTGGCCTATCAGCCTCACCTCTGTGCCTGGGAAAATCATGGAACAGATCCTCCTAGAATACATACTAAGGCATGAGGAGGACAAGGAGGTGATCCAGGACAGCCAGCATGACTTTACCAGGGTCAAATCCTGCCTGACCAACCTATTGGCTTTCTACAACAAAGTGACTGCATCAGTCAGCCAGGGAAAAGCAGTGGATGCCATCTATCTGGACTTCTGCAAGGCTTTTTACATGATCCTCCACAACATCCTTCTCACTAAATTGTAGAGATTTGGGTTTGATGCGTGGACTGTTCAGTGGATAAGGAACTAGCTAGATGGCCATGTCCAGAGGGTAGTGGTCAATGTCTCTTAAGTCCAGATGGGAAACAGTGACAAGTGGTGTCCCTTAGGGGTCAGTGCTGGGCCCAGTGTTTTTTAATATCTTCATTAATGATATTGACGGTGACATTGAGAGCACCCTCAGCAAGTTTGCCAATGACACCAAGCTGGGTGGAGTGGTCAATATGCCGGAGGGATGAGGTGCCATCCAGAGGTACCTGCACAAGTTAGACAAGTGGGCCCAGGTGAGCCTCATGAGGTTCAACAAGGCCAAGTGCAGGGTCCTTCACCTAGGCCAAGGTAACCCAAGATACAAATACAGGCTGGGGGAGGTCAGACTTGAGAGCAGCCCTGTGGAGAAGGACATGGGGTACTAGTGGATCAAAAGCTGGACACGAGCCACCAATGTGCTGTTGCAGCCCAGAAGGCCAACTCCATCCTGGGCTGTATCAACAGAAGTGTGGCCAGCAGGTGGAGAGAGGTGATTCTGCCCCTCTACTCTGCCCTGGTGAGACATCACCCAGAATACTGGGTCCAGATCTGGTGCCCCCAGCACGAGAAAGGTGTGGAGCTGTTGGAAAAAGTCCAGAGAAGGGCCATGAAAATGATCTGAGGGCTGGAGCACCTCTCTTATGAGGACAGGCTGAGGGAGTTGGAGTTGTTCAGCCTGAAGAAGAGAAGGCTCTGGGGGGACCTTATAGTGGCCTTCCAGTACCTGAAGGGCCTACAGGAGAGTTGGGGAGGGTCTTTCTACAGGGGCTTGCATTGAGAGGACAACGGGTAATGGTTTTAGGCTGACAGAACAGAGATTTAGGTTAGAGATCAGGTGTAAATTCTTCAGTGTAAGGGTAGTGAGATGCTGAAACAGGCTGCCCAGAGATGTTGTAGGGGCTCCATCCTTGGAGGTGTTCAAGGGCAGGTGGGATGGGGCTCTGAGCAGCCTGTTCTAGTGGGAAGTGTCCCTGCCCATGCAGGGGTGTTGGAACTTGATGATCTTTAACGTCCCTTCCAACTCCAAAAGTTCTGTGATTCTGTGATCATACAGTGTGGAATATCCCTTTGGCCAATTGGGGTCAGCTGTCTCAGCTGTGTCCCCTCTCAGCTTCTTGTACACCCCCTGCCTCCTAACAGGGTGGTGTGAGGCCTTGACTCAGTGTAAGCACTGCTCAGCTGTAATAAAAACATCCCTGAACTGTCAATGCTGTTTTCAGCACAAATCCAAAACATGGCTCCATACCAGCTACCATGGAGAAAAGTAACTCTACCAGCTAAAACCAGAACAATATTACAGATATTTCTCATAACTATTGAAATTTTAATTCCATTAACAAATATAGTTTTAATATTCTGCTTTTGTAGCTCTTTGCACTTCAGAAAGATAAAAAATCCTCTCCCTCTCTTTTCCTTCTCCCTCTTTTCCTTCCAAGATCACTTTTTGTAAAGAAGCATTAGATCTCTTCTTAGTTATATTCAATTTTTTAGTTATGTTGAAGATTATGTTGTGTAATTTATATAGTTATCCCAGGGACATCATATGATGAATTTCTCTTTTATTATCACAGGTGGTAAAGTTGCACACAAAACTTGGCAAACCCATTCCTTCAACTGAACCAAATGTGGTTACTCAAGCTACTTCCTCAACATCCACATCTGCTTCCAAACCAACTGCCGCTGCTTCAAATATAGCAACTAGCAGCAGTACTGTGAACTCCTCTGTTGCATCCTCTGCAGTGAAAATTCTTACTCCCACAGCAAACACACCGCTTAACACTGCGTCCAACAACAAAACATCTTCAACTGCTGCTAATATAGCTGTAAAGAAAATATCCACACCGAAAATAAACTTTGTTGGCAAGTACAGAAGTCAGTCTTTATTTTGAAACCTAACCTATTCTATAGTTTTTTAAGCGTTAGTGCAGCAAATGCAAATGTGTTAACTTTATGCATGAGTAACTCTGTTGTTTTGAAGAGAATTAAGGATAGGTGAAAATAAGAATGTATATAGTAAAGTTTTGCCTCAAAATTTATGTTTTCTGCCCAGTTGTCTCCAGCTGCCCTGTCTTGAAGGCTTCTCACACCTTCATAAGAAGCCTCTCACCTTTGGTTTCTCATGTAGTAGCTGCTGGAGTATTGCAGTTCATAGTCCAGTTGATCCGAATTTCAGTTTACAGCCTGGGCTGTTAAGGCAACTTGCAGTGGGTTGTTAGTTGATATCTGAACAACTAAAATAACTTTATAACAGTGGAAATAAAACACAGCCTGGGCTGTTAAGGCAACTTGCAGTGGGTTGTTAGTTGATATCTGAATAACTAAAACAACTTTATAACAGTGGAAATAAAACATTGGAGACTTGAAATGAGCATGACAGGTATTTAGAAGACCTGTGCAGTTGTAACAGAGATTGTACTGCCTTTGTTAGAACAAAGATTGTAAGGTTTTTAAGTACTTTTTTTGATTAGTTTACAAAAAAAATATAATCTGATTACAAAAAAGATATAATTAAAACATATTTGCAGAGTTTTGGTCCTACCTCTCTTGAAATAGCATGAAAATTGTAGTTACCTAAAAGCAAAAGCTTTTCTTGCTAAAACAAAACCCCCAAGTATTTAAATAACTTGAATGTTGTTACACTTATTTTTCAAAATCTTTTAATTTTATTTAAAAGATATTGAAGTTGTAACTAATTTTAAAAGATAATTGTCTGGTAAGAACACTGCTATTTGCAAATGAAATCTTCAGTTTGCACATCATATGTGATCACGTTCTCATTTTATGGAAGTTAATGTTTTAACTTTTTTTATTTGTAGGTGGCAATAAGCTTCAGACAACAGGAAGCAAACTGGAAGAAATGAAATCAGCTGAAAGTGTTAAAACAACTCCTGCTGCTACAGTGCAAACACAGGAAGTAAAACCAGACCCAGCAACCGAGCCAGTGACTCCCACAACTCTTGCTGCCTTGCAAAGTGATGTCCAACCAGTGGGCCATGACTATGTGGAGGAGGTACTGATATGAAAATGAGTACTGTATTTAGTGAAAATCTGTTCAACATGAAACAGAATTTCAGAAAGGTTGAGTTCAGAAGGGACCTCTGGAGGTCATTAAGTTCACCCAGGACCACGTCCAGACAGCTTTTAAATATCTCTAATGATGGAGAATCCACAACTTCCTTGGACAACCTGTGCTGGGGCTCATTCACCCTCACGTAAAAAAGCATTTCCTGATGTTAAGAGGGAACCTCTTGTGTTTTGGTTTGTGCCTGTCACATGTGGTCCTGCCACTGGGCAGGCTTCAGTTCCTTCATCTTTTATGGCCCTTTCTTGGACTCTCTCCACTATGTCCATGTTCCTCTGCTACTGGGGAGCCCAGAATGAGACACAGGGCCCCAGGTGTAGCCTCAACACAGCACAGTTGGAGGGGAAGGATCACTGCCCCTGGCTTGCTGGCAGCAGTCTCTGTCTAATGCAGCCCAGGACATCATTTGCTTTCTTTGCTGCTGGAGCACATTGCTGGCTCACGTGCAACTTGATGTCCACCAGCATCCCTGGTCCTTTTCTGTCAAGCTGCTTTCCACCTGGGTGGCCCTCGGCACATACTGGTGCAAGAGGTGGTTCCTTCCCGGGTACAGAACTTGGCACTTCCCCTTGTTGAACTTCATGTGATTCCTGTCAGCCCGTTTCTGCAGACTGCTGAGGTCCTTCTGGACTGCAGTGCAACACACAGGCATATTAGCCACTCCTCTCAGTTTGTGTCATCAGCGAACCTGGAGAGGATGCACTCTGCCCCATCACCCAAATCGTTAAGGAAGATGCTTAAATGGGACTGGACTTAGTATTGACCCCTGGGGTACACTGCCAGTTACTGGATTCCAGCTGGACTTCATTAATTTTTCTGAGCACTGCCCTTTGGGCCTGGCCATTCAGCCAGTTTCCAGTCCACCTCACTGTATGCTTATTCAGCCCACATATCAACAGTTTGTGTATGGAGGGTATCAGTGTGAGACTGTGTAAAAGGCCTTATGGAAATCCAGGTAGTCAATATCAACTGCTCTCCCCTCATTTACCAGGCCAGTCATATTTTTTTTTGCAGAAGTTTATAAAGTTGATCAGGCTTGTCTTGCCCTTAGTGAAGCCATTCTGACCACTCCTTATGATTTTCTTAACCTTTAGCATTCCTAGAAATAGTTCTCCATCACCTCTCCATCACATCATAGGGATTGAGGTGAAGTTGACTGACCTGTAGTTCCCTGGGTTCTCCTTGAAGATAAGAATGGCATGGCATTGACCCTGCAAAGGCTTGTGCATTGTTTAATTTTTTGTGTAGTGCACATTTCTTTTATGTTCTGTGGGTGGCGTGAGATAGCGGTTAAGTCTAACAAATTTTTAATGATTTGCAGGTTTGTAATTACTCAACTTAGTATGTTCAGGCTCAGGTTTATAGCTGTATACTTTTTGGAGTGTAAGAACTTTCTTCTTTGTTCATTACCCAGTACAATGGCATGTCTGTCAGAATTGAAAGTTTGGCTTTGCATTCTTTCAGTTACTGTGCAAACTTTTTAGCATGTTTCGAGATGAGTAGATGTTATCCAGTCTCACTGAATTAGATACATTTTCACATCAGCTTTGTTTCTGTTTATTTTTCTTTTAAAAAGCCAACTGTGTTCTGACTTTATTTTCCAGGTTAGAAATGATGAAGGAAAGGTGATCCGCTTTCACTGTAAACTTTGTGAATGCAGTTTTAATGATCCTAATGCCAAGGAGATGCACTTAAAAGGGAGGCGTCACAGACTTCAGTATAAGGTTAGTGCAAGTGCTTCTATGGAAAATCCACCAGATGTCAGCTTACTGATGGCATGTCCTTACAGTTAAAGACTAGGCAAAAGTAGGTACTCTGAGTAAATAGCATATAGAAAAAGGTAGGGGAATATATTTCTCAGGTCTTTAAAGAAGTAATGCAGACTGTGAAGCTGAATTTTGGTTTGGGTTTTTTAAAACATTTTAAGCATTGCTCTAAGACTGCCTTTTCAACATTAAAATACAGTACAACCTATGCAAACAACAGTAGGTTCTTTTTGTTGCTTACCAGGAATTTCAAATAGTGTAAAATAGTAGTGCTCAATGTTTTTGGCAGAATAAATCACATAAACCCTTGGTGGAGACATTTGAGAAACAAGTGTTGCAGATTTTTTAGTCATGAGTGGAGACATGCTTGTACTGATATACGGTGCACGTCATTATTATTATTTTAAGATTATATTGGAAATAAATACTGTGGTCACAGGAGTCACAGTGGGCCTCAATAATCATGAAAGGGATGAAAGAAGAGACGAAATTGCCAGAAAATTGTATTCAGTAATTCGTGATTATTCCCCACTATGAGGAACCTCACGAACAGAGCATGAGGGAGCACACTGTAATTACAATTAAATGTTTTTTTCAGTCTACAGAATAGTCATCCTTCTATAAGATGAATAGAAAATACCTTAGTATTCCACGTAACATTTTAATCATAAATTGCTTTGTTCTCATGTAAGTGAATAAGTGCTACTTGTAGTATGTTGCTATTTCTTTCCTTTAAAATACCAGACACAGATTTTTCTCCAACCACTTATTCAGTGCAGTTCCAAAACTGCATTTTATTCCCCTTAATTTTATTGTACTCCACTAGTGTGTGTTAAATATGTCAGAAGCACTTTTAAACCGTAAGAGGACAAAGAAAAGCAACATTCCATTCATTTTTTCTCTGAACTAGAAAAAAGTAAACCCAGACTTACAAGTAGAAGTAAAGCCCAGTATTCGTGCGAGAAAAATTCAAGAAGAGAAAATGAGGAAACAGATGCAGAAAGAAGAATACTGGAGAAGGCGAGAGGAGGAAGAACGCTGGAGGATGGAAATGAGGTAATACATTCTGGTTTTGTCAGTGAATGAGACAAAGCTGCAACCAGATGATCTACAACTTAATCTGCTTCTCTAGTTACTTATTTTGAGCACTTGTTTTTGGAACTCCATATTGTTTTGTTTCAAATTAAGTTGTTGGTATTCGTCCAGGGTTTTTGTTTGTTAGTGTTCTATCCCCCTGAAGAATGCAAACTTAGTAGAATTATTTTGCTGTAAATTCAGGTTCACTTTCAAAATAGCTATTCATTTTTCTTACCCTCCAAAGCTCACTGATGTTTGATTATGACTGCTAGAAATGAGGCAGTGAGGACATGCAAGAATTTATTTAGAATGATTGTGGGTATTAACTGCTATATAAAGAGAACACTTTGATGCATTTCAGACGATATGAAGAGGACATGTATTGGAGAAGAATGGAGGAAGAGCAGCATCACTGGGATGACCGTCGCAGAATACCAGATGGAGGATATCCTCATGGCCCTCCAGGACCCTTAGGCCTTCTGGGAGTTAGACCAGGAATGCCTCAGCCCCAAGGACCAGCTGTGAGTTTCTGAACTTGAGAAAAAAAAAATTAAACCACACTTACCAAGGGTCACAATAAAAATCTGTAAATAGTTCCATATTACTTCAGTTATCTCTATTGTTTCTATTGTTTTATGATTTGAAAAGTGAAGAATTGTATGCTAATGAACCTATAGGTGGACCTGTCTTCCAGAACAAGTCAGTTGAAATTACAAAAGGATGCCTTAAAGACACCTTCTGAAGTACAAGTCACTCTGAATTTGTATGCTACATTTTCTTTTTTTTTATTTATTTTATTGCAATATGCAACATTATTTATTTAATTGTGTACAAATATATGCATAAAAAATGGTTGGATTTTCAGTCCCAAAGGATAATGGTTAGTGGTGAGTCATGCTCTTCCTGGACATCAGTAGCAAGAGCAATACCACATGGGTTTACCCTGGAATTTGTCTCATTAGCACCTGAAAGGTGATGAAGTAGCTACTTGTAAGATTTGCAACTGGCATGAAACTGAATCAGTTCGGGTGGGCAGAACGGTTGATAACCTTCGAGGACAGGGCTGCTGTTCAGAGTGACT